AGCCCGCCTGGCGTGGGAACCACGGCTCCCGGCAGGCGCCGCGCGGAGGGCCCGCCCGGGGCCGCTGGGGATTGTAGTCCGCGCCCGGCCCGGCCTGGCTGCGGCCCCGCGGCGGCGCTTCTCGCTCCCGGGCGCCGCTTGCTGCCCCCGGCGGGCCCGAGGCGGCCTGCAGGAGCCCCGCGAGCCAGAGCGTTCGCGACGCGCCCGAGGGCGGCCGGCGAGGGCCGGAAGCCGGGGCAGCGCTTCACCGCCAGGCCGCGCCGGCTCGACCCGTTCCTGAGCCCGCGTTTCAGGGCTTGCGTTGCCGGGCCCGGGCTCTCCTCCTGCGCGCCGCGGGCGCCGCGATCCCCTGTCCGGCGTCGGCCTCGCGGCCGTCCATCCGGGCCCCTCCCGGAGACCGTCTCGCTGCGGGCCGTGAGACACCAGCCGGGCACGGACGCGGGCCGGGGAGGGGGCCCGGTGCGTGCACCGTTCGGGCTGCGGGTCGCACAAGGACAGGTGCGGCGAGGAAGCCTAAGGCAGCGCGAGCAGGAGGCAGCCCGCGTGGCCGAGCAGGTGGCAGCAGGCCCGCCCGGCCAGGTGGAGGTGTGCGCGGCTCTCGCGGACCGCGTGCGCCCGGCACCAGGCCAGCCGGTTCGCACATGCCGTACGAGAGAAGCCCGTGCAAGCCTCTGGCGACGGAGCGGCCTCCGTGGAAGAACTCTCCTTGTGCAGGGGCGCTTGGCTTTCCCTGGGAAGGTCCTCTGCTGTGCAGCGGGTGCCCTCGGATCGCGCACCCCCTTGGTTCGAGGACTGCGCGGAAGCCCACCGTCCCCTCCCGTGCTCCGGGCTGTCAGCCTCTAGCCTTGGAAGGTGGCGGGGGGGCCCTGAAAGCAAAGCAGAACCGCGTAAGGAGATGGTGGAGGCACAGAATGAATTCTTTGCATTTGCCCGCGTTGCAGAAGATGCCGCGCCGGAGCGGGTGCCTCCTGGGAGTCGGAGCAAGCAAACCGTGGTGACACACAGTCCTCAGCTGACTGACACAGTGGAAGCATCACCAGGCCCTGATATATCCATCCCAGAGCTCTTAAAGAGCTCAAATACAAAACCGCTGGCCGCCTACAAACGTATCTGGCATGCCCCTAAGATCAGCCCCTGTACTCTAGGGCTGGAGAATGCCCGGCCTAGCAGCCACTTTTAAAAGGGATCCGGGCAAGGGCTGGGAAATGACAGGCCAGGCAACTTGACGACATTTCTGGGTAAATCGGTTGGAAGTGTGACTAAAGGTGGAGCCAGCAAATGCAGCGTTTGTCAGAGATGGCTGCCTCGGTGCACCAGTTGCTGGGGAACATGGGTGGGGGGGGGGGGTTGGCTGCAATCCTTGTGGGTCTCTCTGGGGCAGCTGCTTGGCTATGGCAGGAGCAGAGCTCTGGCCTGGCTGGAACTTGGCCCGATCCAGGACGAGGGCTCGTTCTCTGAAGGGCTGATCAACACCTGTGCCCCACCTCGTAGCTGCGGGCTCCTGCCCCACCGGAGCGCAAGGGGCGTGTGAAAGGCGCAGGGGGCGCTTTCGGTCAAAGCCAGCTCTGCAGCGCCACCTGCTGACAGAAACTTTGCAAATAAAATGCGCGGGGGGGGGGCGGGAGACACAGGTAACAATTTTGGGGCATTGCCATTTTGCAGTCCCTGTTGGGTGCCAGCCCCTGCTTCCTCCCACTGCAATTCCCATCCTCCCCACACCACATGGTTGGGGAAAGCTACCCGACATGACTTCAGTCGAAGGCAGTCACAGCGCCCACCCCCTTATTGAACACTGCTGGCATGGCACGGATGGGCACAAATGCAGCTTCACACTCATAGGGACTAGCAACTTTAAAGCTCCAATGTTGCTGCAATCTCGAGGGAGGGAAATAAAGGTGGCACGTCTTCCTTTCTGCCCCACAGGTCCACCTGCCTCAGACCCTAGAAAACATGGTCATGCCACCACCATTTGTAAACATAGAAAAACAGAAACAGAACGAATCAGAGGGGGTCTCCTGGGCCATCTAGTCTGACCCCCGGCTCCAACCGGCTCCGCTCATGACATGCCTACCACGTGCATGTCCAGCCTCTCCTTGGTGGTGAGCAGGAGATGCCCGTGGGCCACTGTGGGCCAGCACTGCTTAACGGCAGCGGCAACACACCCAGCCCCACACAGATGCCCCAGGGAGCTGCGGCGACCACCCAGCGTGGCTGGCAAGGACTGCCAGACGCCCCGCAGCCTCTGCTGGCTTAAACAACCCACAGAGCCCTCTGCTGGTTGTGCAAACCAGGTCCAGGGAGTGGGGCCACACATATATTCATTTGTGCCCCCAATGGCCGGTGGTCTCAAGCCTTTAGAGTGTGTTCGCTCTCTCATCCTCCCACATCAGATTTAAGAGCTTTAAGCACCAGCATCCGAGAGGAAAGTTGCGGCTCCGCTCCCACCCCTGGCCTTCTGCCTGGTCCACCCCTGGAAAGCAGCTTTTTGGGCCCCAGGCTGGCCCTCCCCACATGTGCTCAAGAGACCCTTGGGCTCCACTGGACTCGACCCTGGCCAGCCGAGTGCTGAGGAGTCGGCATTTCCCCTGCTCCCGAGGAGTCTCCTCCATCCCGCTTTGGAGGGTGCGAGTTCTGACATTCACCCGATGGAGTGGGCCATGCTGAACTTCCAGCGATGCCCCATTCACGTACTTTTAATACACACTGAAGTGCTCCGTTGCAAAATATTTCCAGACCGACAACTTAAGTTTATGTGTTCATTTGAGAATTTTTACAGTGGGGTCCAAAACCGTGTGTGACTTGTGGAACAAAAATATGGAAAATGTTCTCCAATTCCTCCCCCCCTCCCCCAACGTGCCTTAATACAAACATAAATCAACTGGAGTATAAAACCGTACATATTTATTTGACACCTGCATATTGAAAATATACTTCGTGTTTTCCTTCCCCCAGCAGGGACCTGAATACAAAGTGGGGAACTGGTTTTCTGCTACTGAAATCCAGTAGGCCAGACTGGGGCGTCAGGAGGCTAGGCAGAGCGGCTTTCCAGTCCCCCTCCCTCGAGCGGCTACCCCACTTCCCTATAGCGGGTGTGACTGTCCCCAAGTGGGGGCCAGAGGCGGCCATCCTGGCAAACACAGACCAGAGTGTCCACCTGCTCGGCCAGTTGTCCTGCAAGCACCTCCCCGCCATTCCCGATTTTAAAAAAATAGGGGAAGCTGCGGCGAGAGACCTGTGCACCAGCCTTGGTTTGGAAGGAACGCGTTTGCTTTGGAGCCCTCCCTTTGCCTTGCACCGAGGGTGGAACTGTGCTGGGCAAGGTTAATCTCGCCCCCCACCATGGCAGCCCTCAAACGACAGGCCACCCCACTGCACGCCTGGGGGAACAGACCCCTCTTCACCCGCTCTGCCCCTTCCCCAAATCTGAGTTTGCAACTTTGCTGCAGAGAGGGGCCAACACCCCCAAAGAACATGGCCGAGTGGACAGGCTGGAAAGGAACGATGGGACCTGTAGTCCAGAACACCTACAGGGTGCCAGACAAGAAACAACGATGGCTTGGATTTATACAGGACTGGCTCACAGCAAGACCGGGGCTCGTGGGCACTCCTCCCAGAGAGCAAGACAAGCCCCACATCTGGTCTACAGCGTTCCACAATTTTCCAGGTATGTCCAAATGATTATTTGTGCAAAGCATCATTTCTTCTCCAACCATGACTGAACATCCTGGCTTTGCAAACAAGCCATGGTTTACACAAACTGTAGCTTGCTGCAAACGACTGCAATGAGAAACGGAGGTTTGCTGCAATTTCCATGCAGCAGCTTTTCCGATCCACCCTGGCTCCTGCCCCAGCACAGCGGATGTCAGCCAGGCAGCCACACTCGGCCGCTTGGCCAGAGGCTCTGCTCTGTCCCCAGCCTACTTCCGCGATGAGCCATTGAACCCGAAGCCCTTGCAGCTCCTTGCTCATCCTTCCCGAGTGGCAGAGAGTGAGGTTGACACTGAGCGCGTAAGCTGGGAAATGACACCTGGCTTCCGCTGCAATCTTACCTCTCAGCCCCTCCTTGGCAAAACTGGGACAGCCGCACTGACCCACCATTTGGGGCACGGTAGGAGCCCCCTAGAAACACCTCCCTTCAGGCACTGCGGCAGACTTGAGAATGCCCGCCCTTCCTGCTTTCCTGTTCCCTCCACTCGGCACCCGAGCTTCAAGGCTCCTGGGGGTGGAGCGTGATGCCCACACAGCAAAGGGACCCGGAGTGCCCAGTACTCAGTGGTGCTGATCAGAGGAAGCTGCTTCACACAAACCCCCCACAAGAGGACAGCCTTTTTAAATGCTTGGGTTCAGACAAGAGAACCTGCGATCAAGGGTAGAGTGTGGGTTGTCGAACCATGGGTTATCTTGTCTGAATCCAGCTAACAAATCAGTGAACAGCCCATAGTTCACAGCGCAACAAACTATTGGTTCTCTTCATGGGTTGCCCATGGTTAATAAGCCATGGTTTGCTAGTAGAGCTGGGTTCGGGCAACGGGACAACCCATGTTTCAAGAACAACCAACACTCAACGCTTGCGTATGTGTTACTGTGTATTCTGGAGCTAGTTCTGAATCTCCCAGGCTCAGCCCTCCGTGATGTCCATCAGACACCAGTGGGGCTTACTTCCAAGTAGGACTAGAGCACAGTGCAGTGTTTAGCGGTTCTCTTTCCCTCTTTTAGCAGAACCTTTGGAGCAATCCGCTTGGAGAACAGAACGCAAGGGAGGGGGTTGGAAGTGCACGGCAAGCGGGGGAATCTCTCATCCAGATCATCTCTTTTAAGAACTGCTTCCTAGGAGAGGACTACAAAATCTAAGTCTTGATACTATTCAGAACAAACTTCCCTTGCGTTATACACTGACAGGTTAAAAAACAACAGGAAAACCGGCGCCCCAATCGCAACAGAGCGATTCTGTTCAAAGGCCTGTAACTGTTCACTCATTAATACCACGGTCGCTTGTTCCATCTTGGGCGTGATAAGGCAAGGCTGAAGAGAGCCCACAGCATTCAAGACTACAACTCCCAACAGGCAGTGGCAAGGGCTGCAGGAGCACACTGCATGCTGGGATGCGTAGTTCTTCTGAAGAGCCCAATTCTTCCGATTCTTGCTGCGGAAAATGTCCTCAGAACAGGACGATGCCCCACCACTGAGGTCACGGTTGTTCAAGAGGCAGGGACTGAAACGGAAACAACCCCAAAAACACTGCAAGAGCCAAATCATGGAAGAAGGGGAGGATTTAAGACGCTGCAGCGAAGCTCGGAGGAATGCGCTAATTTCGTCTGACTCCCAGCTGGTGGCTCAGCAGCTTTCTTCTTGCTCAGCCCCAGGTCTGAATTTGAGATGGCCCTCCAGATGTTCTGGCCTATGACTCCCATGCTCCTTGGTCATCAGCAGTGCTGTGGCAGATGGGATTTGCAGGCGAGCGCAAGCAAAGTGCCAGAAGCAGCGCAACCCTAGCGCAATTTCAAAGAGGCCCCTAAGCCTGCGGCCTTTCCAGGGGGTCGGGTGCCCCCCCCCAGCTGTTTAAGTGACCATTCAGAGGAAATTAAGCGCTCCCCTCGAGGAGGATGGCTTCCCGCTGAAATGCGCACATCAGGCTGCTGCAGGTGGAGGCGGGCCCTTGCCCACCCCGGCCGGTCGCAGCCCCCCGGCTCTTTCACGGGAGAATGCTGCCACGGCTGCTCTGCCATCACAGAACAACTGGGACTCAGGGCGGGCCTGCCAGGCCTCGTGGGATCCAGCCCCGGCTGAGGGGGTGTGACGAGCAGAGAGGTGGCCCTCGCGCCTGTCAGACCCCCCCCCCCCGCTTTCTTGCAAATGCTGGGACCAGGCCTCCCGTGTGCTCCAGCTGCACCTCGCCGGCAGCCCGGCTTGGGCCAGGTGGGGGTCACCCCCTCCGTTTTCCCCACCTCAACTATTTTTTCAAAAGAACTTTTAAAAAATGCGGTCCTTTAAAGCCCTTCAAACTAGAATGGCCAGCCTACATTTGGGAACCCCTCGCCCCAGACTTTAGGCTGGCTAACCAAGTGTGGCCCCCTCCCCACCCAGGGATTGATCAGGGATGCGCTTCCGGGAAGGGACATGCAGATCAGCTGGGCTGCCTGCAGTGGGGACCTCCCCGCATCCTGCCTGCCTCCTCTTCCTCCCAGAGTCGGCTCCTGCCTTTCAAGGCCGTTCTGCACAGCTGCACGCCTGGTGTCCAGAGGCCCCGGTACCTTCCGCTCCTCTTCGGTGGCAGAGCAGAGACCCAGGCACTGCGGGACCGGGGCCTGTGGGGCTCCCCCCAGATCAAATGAGCAAGCCCCAGTGTGATTCCCCAGAGGCTCAAGAAACTGTCCCTGAAGCAAACAGCCCCCCCACCAAACACGCAATTTTCAAGGGGGAACAAAACCAGGGAAAGAGGGCTTGACCCTCCATCCTGCGTGGGATTTAGCCAGGGAGACAAAAATCCCTCGGTGCAAACAGGTGTTCCCGAGCTCGACTGCCGAGCCGCAGCGGCAGGGACAGCGACTTTCCAGGCCGATGGAGGCAAGCGGTAGCCCTCCCTTGCCCGTACATTTTGTCCCCGGTCGTGCTTGGAAGAAACGGTCTCAACCGATGCCGACAGGCCTGCCCTGTATCTGCCAGGTGCCCCCGCAAGGTCTCTCCTCACTCTTGCATGAACCGCACAACCGGCATCTGCCCCCCACCCCCAGCCAGCAAGAACCGCGGCCCCCCCTCCGCAGAAGCCCACCAGGGAATGAGGCGGATTCCAGATCCGCCTGGGAGCAGTGGCCGGCCTGGGCATTCAAGTTTCCGGGGTCACGGGCCAAACGCGAAGCGGCTTCCTCCGGAGGAGCTGGGGCGAGATGGCTCGCTCTCCCCCGATGCCGATGGCCGAGGACCCTCCCGGGCTCTTGGCGAGCGAAGCAATAAATACTCAGACAGGCCCACGCGGCCCTCGCACCAGGGTGCGCCCGGCGTCCCTGCGACTCTGGCCGTGCCGTTTCTCCAGCAGGGCGCGAGGTGACCTGAGATGCGCGCGGTGCATGCGGCGAGCGGATGCGCGGGGGGGGGTGCGAAGGGGAGCCGGGCGCCCAGAGGCCGCGGTTCTGTCCAGGCGTCTCAGGTGGGCTCAGCCTCCGGCTGCAGGGCGGCAGAGGCCCGGCGTCGGTTCCTCATCCCCTGGAAGAGCGCGTGGCCGGCCGGGACCCGATCGCGCCTCGCGGGGGAAAAGCCCTAGAAGTCGGAGTCGAGGTCGAGCAGCTCCACATCCATCAGGTGGGTCCTGGAGCTGATGGGGGGCAGCGCGCCCCTCCTCCCGGGAGTCTGCAGCGCCCTGTAGGGGCTGCCACCGCCACCCAGGAGCACGGAGGCCGAGGCGGCGCTTCGGGAGGGGTGCTGGAGGAACCGGCCCCCCTGCTGCGGCAGCGGCCCGGGGAAGAGCCAAGGGCCGCTCCGGGGGCCTGGCTCATCCTGGGGCCCGGCATCAGGGCAGAAGGGGTGGCTGACGAGATTCAGGGCGCTGCTGTGCCGGTAGCCGGCCGGGGGCTCCCGGGGGGCCCAGGGAAAGCCATCTTCCTGCTGGGGGCCGCCCGGCCTCCGTCCGGGGAAGGCGCCCGGAGAGAGCACGTCGTTCAGCGCCTGGGACTCCTGGCGACTGGCCACGAAGCACTTGGCCCGGGGGAGCTGGGGCAGGCGGGGGACGGAGCTGGCGAAGCGGTCCGTGCCGCGGACGCCGTCGGCCGGCCCCATGGGGCACACCTCCTTCTTCTTCCTCCTCCGCTTCTTCTTGCGGCCCAGCCTCTTCTCCCGCCGCGGCGAGAGCTCTCCTTCCACCAGCCACAGGCTCGCCCTTTCCTCGGGGGGCACTGCGGGACCAACGGGGGACAAAGACAGGGCGGCTACTTTCCGGGGCCGCAAAGGGGGGCTTCTTTCACAGGGAGGGGCCCTGGGCTGAGCCGGGCCCTGCAGCCCTGACACGGGCTGGCAGCGTCGGCGCCCCGTTTCCCAGCCCTGCCGGAGATGCTGCCGCGGAGCCGGCGACTTGCCTCCTGCCTACAAAGCAGGCCCTCTGCTCCCGGGACGCGGGGAACCCGCCTCTGCCCCGTCTGGCATGTCAGCTCCGGGCTGCGTCCAGCGTGGGGCCGGGGTTAAGACATGGAGCTGTGCCTCAGGGAGGGAGGTCGGGGTTCTCGTCTCCACCCAGCCGGGGAACTCACTGGGTGACCAGGCCTCCGTCTGGCCTACCTCACAGGGCTGCTGTTGTGAAGGGAAGACTGAGAGGAGACTTCTGTAAGTCGCCTTGAGTTGCTCGATAGGAAAAAGAGCAGGTCAGAAACATGAACAAACTGCTGCCGTCTGAGCAGGAGTTTTGCGTCTGTTTGCGGGACCTTGTGCTGCTCCTTCCGTTTTCTAGGCAACGACGTATTCTTAGTCTTGACTCTCAAGCTGCCTTGGATGTTTTGACAGGAAGGCAGCACACGCTAAATCGCAGTATCGACAACTATGTTGCCGCGGCTGCCACTGAAGTATGCACCAGTTTGCAGCATCACCAAAGGAGGAAGGCTCTCTGCCCCACGCAGCTTACAGTTTATGGTTTGACAGGGGAAAGACAGCAGAAGGGGGGTGGGATATGCCTTGGGAAGCATGTGGGGCTGAGGACTAGCTCCTTGAACAACGGAGAACTCGGCCGTGTCAGCTCCTGCACTGCCCTTTCCCACTGAGACCTGGACAGGAATCTGGCCGTTACGTGGCCATTTTCTCCTGCCGCTTGTCCTGGTTTCCAAGAACGGAAGATGCCCCGCTATGGGCATGGGGGGGGGGGCTCCGGGGGCCACGGCCACAAAAAATACAACAGAGGAACACCCCTGATAGGGGGCGGGATGGCTCGGGCAGGGGGAACGCCTGGGGGCGACGCAGCTGTGGCACTTACCCCTGGCCTACAGGCCTCGCTGCCCCCAGCCGGGCCCCCCTCGGCACGCGGCTGCCTGCCAGCCCAGGGGCCCGTGTGGAGGGAGCCGAGGGAGCCTGGATCCCCGGGAGCCCTCCGTGCCGCCAGACTCCCCCGGCCAGAAGACGAGGGGCCGTAGCTGGACCCCCGCCCGGGGGGCTGCTGGCCCTCGATTCCACCCTCCGGCCAGCAGGGGAGCGAGAGTCGGTGCACGACCCGTGACAGAGCCACGGCACTGCCCTGCAGCGGCATCCCCGGGGGGCCGCAGAACCCCCTCCCCCAGCCCCCCGAGCCAGAGGCATTACCGGGCGTTGCTACAGGCGTGACAGAGACGTCCTGCGACAGGATGGCCCCTCTGCGGGCGACCATCTTGGTCACGTGCTGTGCCCAGGCAGAGGACACGTCTCCCGACGGCTCGTTGAGGTCGAAGGGCAAACCGGCTGGAAGGAGAGAAGATGGAGCTCGCGAAACGGCGGTCGCCTGCAGCACGCTGGCTTCCGGACGCAGGCGTCCTCCAAGGACAGAGCTGGGCCTGCCAGTGAAGGGGCCCGCGTCCTTTCCGGAGGCTGCTTTTTGGAATCCAGCCCGTCCTGAACCCCTGAAAGGGCTTCTTCAAACTGGAGCCCCCCAGATGCGCAGAACAGCAGCCCCCAGAGTTCCCAGCTGGAGCTGCCCTCACCTGGGAAATATGGGAGCTGCAGCCGCCCAGTCCCACCCCCGTGCCCCCCCAGGCATACCAACTGGTCCCTCGTGCGAGGCGGAGCGCAAGCTGAACGACAGCTCCTGGCCGGGGTTGTGCTGCAGCTCCTTCCGCCTGGAGAAGGCCTTGGCGATCATCCTGCTCTTCCGGATCCTCTTCGGCTCGTTGCTGCTTTGGCCCGTCAGCCTGCCGGAGGAAAGGACAGCAGCCCGCCTGAGCACCGGCACACCTGGACGCCCAGGGGCCTGCAAGCGGGGCGCGAGGTCCCTGCCCATCACACACCCATTCTCGAGGAAAAACCAGCGTGCCTGTCCAGAGCCACACAGAAACCAGGCCTGAGGGCGCCCGACTTCGTCCACGTCCTCTTCCTCTCTAAAAGCAAGCTGTGGGGAGCCCAGGCCCTCCAAGAATGGGGCACGGGAGAACCTGGCAGAGCTGGTGCGTCACTCTGCCCCACAACTAGCAGGGCAGGGCAGGGCTGCCCTGTTCCAAGGACACCGCGAGCCGCAGCCCACAGCCGGCCAGGGCCTCCCGGCGGTCCCCACCCCTACCTGCACCAGGTGCGCTTCCAGATGAGAAGGGTGGCCCTGGTCCACACCCAGGTACTCATGGAGATGCCAGTCCCAAACATGGCAAAGAGGTTGATCTTCTCCACCAAGAGGCTGGGCCGGTTCTTGATCTCACAGTCGGGAATCGGCTTGTTGTTTTGCGTGGCGATTGTCACATTCGCCTCGCACCTGCGGAGGACCAAGAGCGGGGGGAGTCGGCGAGGGGCGCGAGGGACCCCGGACCTGACCGTGGCTCTTGCAGGATGGCAGAGCTGATCGTCTTGATGACGAACTCTTCGTAAAGGTCCCCCAAAGCAACCCAATGAATACTCCACTTTTTAAACATTTTACACTCAATTTACGAGCAACCCCGCATGGCAGAAAACAGAATGTGAAACTGCAAGGAGTTCGACATCAGTGCCAAAACAAGAGAACAATAGCCTAGTCAAAGCTAACCATGAGAGAGAGAGAAGGACGTTTTCACACTGGCCCTCAAGACCGTCCAGACCTTAGTTACAGGCCAAGCCGGGCATGAAGTCTTCCGCTTCCACTTGAGAGACTGGAACGGTGGGCCGGACAAGCATCCCACAAGTGGGGGGGGGGCTTTATGGAGAAGCCCCTGCCCCTCCAACCTGCCAGTGTTAAGCAGATTAATTGCTTAGATCAATTTAATCAAAAAACAAAGATAGACATGGCTTTTAAAATACTGATCGATTGACTGAATATAAGACTCTTTATAGATAAGAAATGTTGCCTTAAAAAGTGTTTTTCCCCTCCATGAGAAATTCAGCTCCTGAACCCCTGGTTAAGAACAGGGAAAAGCTGCTTGGCTCAGCTGCAAATTTGAACAGGTTTACTGGAATGTTTCATCAAGTAATCAAGGATTAATCCACAAAGATGAACTGAGCGAGCTTGCTGCGCCCTGCAGGACCCTTCTCTTCCTAAAAGGACTTCCTTCGGACAGAATCCTAGAAGAGGAGAGCTGGAAGGGGCCAGGGGGCCACCGGGGCCAGGGGGCCACCGGGGCCACCCCCTGCTGTGGCAGGACCCCAGTTCACCCCAGAATGCCTCTGGTGTGGGGGAGCCCACAGCCTCCCTTGGGCATGGGTTCTGTTGCCCTACTGCTCCAGCAGCCAGGAATTTTTCCCGGATGGCTAGTGGGAATCTGGCTCCCTGCACCTTGCGCCCGCCATCCCATGTCAGGCACTCTGGGGAGATGGAGCAGCGATCCCGCCTCTCCTCGGAGTGGCAGGATTTTTTTCCAGCGCTCCCTGCTAAGATGGCTGGCCGTGTGGGCCCCGCTCCACACAAACCTCTCCACCGGCCTCTTTGCCTGTGACCCGTGCGGCTCCGGGGGCTTCTCCACCATGGAGTTTGCCCTTCGGGCGGAAGGAGCCCCGGAGCCGTTCCGCGCCTGGCCCCTCGGGCAGCCACCCCCTTCCCTGTGCACAGCTCGGCGCTGCTGCTCCGGCCGGAGCTGGGTGGCTGGCCCCGGAAGCTGCCCCTCGACGCCCTGCAGAATCCTGCAGCATCCTGCGGCTGATGCCCAGCACAGAACAAGGCCAAGGGCCCCCCGCCCCCGCACTTACAGGACAAACTCCCGGAAGCTCCGCTCCCACTCCGCCTGGTTGAAGAAGTCGTAGAAGTGGCAGCCAAACGTGATGAACACAAAGCCGAAAGCCAGGAAGCCAAAGATCCCTGTCGCGGGAGGGGAAGAAACGCGTCACAGGGCGGGGAGAGGCCTGCATGTGCTGTCCTGGCAGGGGGCGCCCCTGGGTGTGTAGCAGCAGTCTGAGGGCAGACAGAAGCCTTTCCACCAGTCCTGTTGGAAGACTTGCTTTTCCTCTTCCCTCCCTATTCCCTTTCCTTGCGTGTCGTGTCTTTTCGGACTGCAACCTGCGGACAGGGACTGTCTCGATTTACTGATAGCATGCAAACCACTCGAGAAGCCTTTTTGGCTGAGGGATAAAGCAAAATGCTTCCACTGGATAGATCGGCCTAGCCCACTCACCCAGGCGTAGCATCGTCTCGTTGATTTTGCTGGCAGCTTTCTCACTCAGCAGCCCGGGGTGGTTGCTCTTGATGGAGAACAGCGTCATCACACCTGCAACGGGGCAAGGGGAGCGCGGTCGGATGCGTGGCCCCAACACCTCTCTGTGCCAAGGGGTGTCACGGCAGCCAGACAGCTGCGGTTCCGGCCTGCGAGACTCGGGGATCGCTCGAGCAGGGTGGGTGCAGGGCCCTGCCTGCCCGCTCCTCAGCAGCCGGTGCGCACCGGAGGCAGCGCAGAAACCGCTGGCCAGCATGAGCCGGCGTCTCTGCCTTGCGTTTGTCCAGTCGCAGACCCTCGGCCCGGCCTACCTCACAGAACTGTTGTGCAGGTAAGACGGAGAAGAGCACTGCGCAAGCCCCTTTGTAAGCAAACAGGCAGGCCATAAATCTAGTAAACCAAACACAAGCCAGTGACCATGAGCAGCCCCTCGCGTGCCGCCGAGCGCCGCAGCTGAACTCTGCACCGCGCGAACAACCCTTCCTTGGATCTGTTAGTCTCCCGCCAAACGGCTTCCTGGGAGGACCCTGCTGGCTCCCACTATCATGGGAAAGGGAGGGAAAGGTCTCGCTCTCCGCCTTCTCCAGGCCAGGCGACCCCCTCCTGTCTCCCCCCTCGCCAGGCTTCCAGGCCAGACGACACCAGACGCCGCAGCCGTTCCTTTCCTTGCAGGGCGAGAAGGTGGGAGATGCCTCGTAAAACACCCGCGGGCATGTCTCTAGGCGGGCGCTCAGTGGGACTGCCAGGAGAGCCGCTCAGCGCCAACTGGGTCACGCTGGGACGCGTGTGTTTCTTGCTCCGAGAGGGGCTGATCACGCTCGCTGCCACACACGGTGTCCGCGGCATCCGTGGGCCTTTCCCGCAAGCTTGCGTGCTGCTCTGCAAGGCAGCCCTCCAAGTAAACCCACCACCGCGTGCCAAAGCCGCCTGCACAACCTTCAGGGACTGGGCACCCCCGGATGTGCTGGGACTACACCCCCCATCGTGCTCGGCCAGCACGGCACGGAGGCCACCTGGCTCTTGCCCTAACCTGACGTTCGAACCTCACATGCGATTTAGAACTGCCTGGGGGAGCGCAAAGAAGGGGCTCCGGGACTCGCCCCACTGCCCTCCGAAGCGTGCTCGCTTCGCCGCTGTGTCTTCAATACACTTATGTCCCCGACCCCCAGGAAGTCCGCAGTGGTGGGCGGACGTGACGCTCTCTCTCCACGTTATCTTCACAACCACCCTGTGAGGTAGGCGAGGCTGAGAGGGAGCGACCGGCCCCAGGTCAGCCAGGGAGCTGCACGGCCGAGTGAGGACCTCCACCCGGGCCTCCCCGGGCCGATGCCCCAACCAGCTACGGCCGATCCAGCATGGCTGGTCCTGTGTCCCTAGCCGCTGCGACCCATGGGCCTCCAGGGGCTAAGCCAGCAGAGGGTCCCCACAGGGCGTGTGCGCAGACAAGGAGGGCAGCGGGACTCTGTTGCTGCCAGCTCTCCTCGGGCGGGCTGACCTGGACCCCTGTGCCAGGGTTCCCCTAAGGAGCGGCCCCTGGGCGGCGAGTCCGGCGGCCCGGGGCCCGAGACTGGGGGAGAACGAGACCCTTCTCCTTTCCCAGCCGCCCCCTTCCCTGCTTGCCACACTTCGGTGCAGAGACCCGAGCGAGGAGAGAAGCCCACCTCGGATTAAGAAATAGCCGCCCACGATCAGCACCAGGCCGATGGGAGCCAGGACGAAGCCGGCCCGGTAGCGGTAGTTCTTGTACCCGACGAAGCAGATGCCGCTGACCGAGTCTCCGTCCACCTGGGAGGGCGAGAGGGGAAGCACGGGCCCTCCAACTGCTGCTCGCCGCCCGCGGGACAGAGCCCGGGAGCCGCTTGCAGCCGCAGGGCAGAATTCGGACTTGGAGACGCTCCAGCGGGAAGTGGCGTCCAGAGGGAGAACGGGCAAGGCCAAAATAACCAAGAGGCCTGCAAGTTTAGCGTCCATCGCTCCCTGCCCAGAGCCCGGCCCTGGGGGGCATTGCGGCCGGAGTGGGGATGGGGACGGTCCTCTGGGGAAACCCCGAGGGCCAGCCGGGGGCCCGGAGCGGATGGAAGCCTGGCTCCTGGGCTGGAGGTTCCCCATCTCTGCACTGAGGCACCGCTCCCTCAAGGGCTCTGTGCGGCCACTCCAACCCGAGGGCGACGGTCTCTTTCGCCGACAGTGGTCATCCGCCGCACAGTGTGGAGAAGAACACCGGTCCCTTCCGCCACGAGAAACCGCCCCCCCCACACAGCCCGGGCCCGTCCCGCCCGTTACCTGGGCCACGGCCAAGATGGCGACGGTGAGGACGAAGGGGATGGACCAGGTCACCAGGTGGAAGTAGGAGGTCTTGCCCACCAGCGGCTGGTAGGTGGTGCCCAGCGCCTTGAAAGAGGTGTGCCAGGCATAGGTCAGCATCACGAACCAGATGACGCCCGACATCAAGGAATAGTAGACGATGACGAAGATGATCACGCAAGAAAGCGTCTCGTTGGAGCTGCGAAGAGGAGCAGAACGCTTGCGGTGAGGTGGGAGGGCCTCGGGGGGGAGAGGTGGCGCTGCTCCCTCTGGGTAAGACCTGTTGCCCCATCGCGAGCAAAGTCTATCTGGGGGGACCCCGAATGCGCCTCTTGCCAGAGCTTCTCCCTCACAACAGGTGCGCATGTGCGCACACACACTTCCACAGGTTCACCTGGGGCGTTTCTCGGTGGGTTTGCACAACCTCCCAAGAGCTCCATGAGGGCCAGAGCAGCCTCCCAACCGAAAACTGTTCCCCACCCCAAATCTCAAGGAGTGGAAACGGAGGGGCTTGGCACCGTTTTCGGAATGAAGCGCAGAGCGGCTTTTGCTGGAGGGCTTGTTCAAGGCCGCATGTGCAGCTGAACATGGAACACCCTGCCCCCGTGGCACGTGGCCACGTCTTGCTGCGGTGGTCCAGCTGTGGTGGACGGCAGAGGGTGGGGGGAGGCCTGGTGTGGCTCCTCCGTGCCAGGATCAAGTCCAGTCCCCGCTCTGAGAAAGCCAGCGTGTCAGGGGAAAAGCTCAGGGCGGGCTTCTCCCAGCCCAGGAGAGCTCTCGGGCTCCCATCGGCCCCGGCCAGTGGTTGGGCCAGCGGGGGCTGAGGGAGTCGGGAGACCGGCGGCACCCAGGGACCCCCGTTCCTTGGCCCGGCCTCTCAGTGGTCTCGAGCGCCAGTGGCGCCCCAGAGGAACATACGTCGGCTCTCCCAGGCGCATGGTCCCGTCTGCGCGGCACACGATTTCGCGGCGGGCGCCGTCCATGAACTGGGCCAGCCAGCCGATGCTGCCCATGAAGAAGCAGGCGTTCACGTAGAAGAGGATGACGGCCGGGTAGCGGTTCGAGTTCTTCCAGTCGGCGACGAAGGTGGCCTGGGGGGGAGGCGCAACGGAGTCAGAGCGCCCACAGGCAGGGCAAGGCAGCCCCAAGGGGGCTCCCCCCCCGCCCCCCGCTTCCCTTCAGGAGATGCGTCACGAAAGAACGTGGAAAGGCACAGCGAGGCAAGGAAAGCAGCGTTTTAAAAACAGAGGGCCTGCCACAGCTCTCCCAGCGTGGTGCCCCCCCGATGCGAGCTTGCCGGGGAGGAAGGGAGCTGAAGCCGGCACATCTGGCGAGCACCAGGTTCGGGAAGGCTGGCTGAACCAGAGAGCTGCCTCGGAAACCATCTTGACCGTTCTCTCTTGCACAGATGCAGGTGAGACAAACGTGTCCTGCAAAGTGGCAGCCACGGAAAAGGCCTTGCCGTGCGTCCCAGCCACGCTTGCAGGATCAGGCCCACACGCCCAAGGCACCTGCAGGATCTGGCCCGCACGCCTGTCCAGAGGTCTCTTGCCACCGACACTCGTCTGGGCTGCCCAGAAGTCTGGGCTGGCCCCGTTGCGACACGGGCTCGGGTCACACGACACGGGCCTGCCGCCCGAACACGGTTTCCCGCGCTTGCAGAACCTCTAGCCAGCCCCGGCCTCCCAGCCTGCCGGCCTGGGCGATGGAGGCTGCCCTCTGCGGCCAGGGAGCTCCAGACGGGGGTAATCCAGACCAGAACACCACAAAGCTTTCGGCCCCCTCCATTCCGAGCAGGGTTGTTCTGAGGATTAACGTTCCTCTGGGATGTAGTACGTGGGTTCAGACAACACGATGATAACCCTCACTCAAGGGTTGAGCCTGCGCGGTCATTAAATCGTAGGCTGTTGCTGAAGCATAAGCTGCCGTGTCGTCTGAACCCAGGTTCACCAACAAGCCATGGCTTGTTGACCTTGAACAAACCATGAAGGGAATCACGGTCTGTTGCTGGGCTGTGAGGTGTAGGTTATTTACCACAGTTTGCGATCTTGCTTGGGTTCGGACAGCACGACCACCCGCCCTTCCGTCACCCCGAGTGTGGGTTCTCGGGCTGCTTGAACCCCACCCTGGCCTTCTCCTCCCTGCTCATCCCCCCACCGCACCATTTGGCTTACCAGCGTGAAGAAAGTGCAGAACAGAGTGACGGAGCTGAAAGCGGCGATATAGACGTGCATCTCGCGGTGCTCCTTCTCCGTGAAGAGGGGGTTCTGGCACTGGATGCCGCACCCCTCCACGTCCTCGTACCAGCTCTTGGAGTTGTCTGTCTGGACCAGGGGCGGCTCGCACTGCCCCGAGCTGTTGAACCGGATATTCTGCACCTCGTTCTGTGTGAGCAAGGGAGAGGCAAAGCTGTGGCTGCCGCCATGCGCAGGGCGCATCATCGCGGACGCTCTGCGCGCACTGCCGTAATTCTTCGCTAACCCCAGAGCTGTTCCTAGGACAACCGTCCCACAGTGGGGCTCGCTCCCGCCGTGGCGGACTGGCACTCGCCTCCAGCACAACTGGAGGGCGCCCCATTGTGGGAAGGCTGCTAGAGGAGGAACGTCGGCACGTCGGCCTTCTCCCTGACACCCTTGCTTTCTGCATGCAAGGCGTTCCCTGCGCCCCTTCATATGGAGAAGGCCACGAAGCGGCGACACCCCACATTCTCCCAGGGACCTTCATGACGCCTGGTGAGGAGCCGTCCCAGGCTAGACGCACAAACAGGCCTCTCGGCGCATGTGGGAACGCGTCCTTCCCGTGCAGACTGATGGCGTTTGGGCGCAGCCGAACCTTGCCTCTTCCCCGGGGCCACAGCCAGGCCTGGTATCTTGCCCGCTGGTGTGTCGACACGCCGCAGAAGCACTCGCTTACCGGGCAGCCTTCGGGGAAGCGGTCCGTGGTGCACCGGAGGAAGTCTGGCCAGCCCCTCTCGCGCTCGACGATGGTGCAGGGCCCCCGAGTGGCCTGGCACAGGGTCTGGCTGGGCAGCTCCACCTTGCCGTCCTCACACTTGGGCATGTACACGGCACAGAGGAGGGGCTGGATCACGTCCCAGCAGCGAGGGGCATTTCGCAGGCCTGGAAGCAACGAGGCAGGATAACCGGCGGTGAGTAAGACCCCTCTTCAGTCTCGGCAGCCCATGAGAGCTAGAAACTTGCTTTTTAAAACTGCTTGCATTTTGTTACTGATCTCATCTGAAAGTTAAGAAACCGGGGTGTTTAAACACCACTGGAAACATCGACAATTAATTCGCCAGTCAAAAACAAGAAACCTGCCAGGGCATCAGATACCTAAGATCCTGGTTAGCGGATGTTATCTATCCATCAGGGCATATTTAGAGTTTTGAAAGTGTTGCTGGCACTCGCACAAAATGGCTACCCTGGTGGGTGCAACCGGTCACTGCCCTGAAGGCACAGGGGCAAGGTTGAAAGATGGCCACCTCGCCCAAGCCAATATCCGGCTGGACACACCTTCTGCCTCCATGTTGCTTCTTTTCCTCAGCTTAAGGGTAGGGGATTTCGAGAAGAAGCGCTGGGTTCCACCCCTGGAGCACAGCTGCTTCCTAGGAAAGCCCCAGGATCCACATGGCCCGGGGTGTTCTGCGAAACAGAGCCCATCAGCCGGGACTCTGCTCTGCAATATGCCACCTTCCCAGGTGTGTGTGTGGGGGGGGGGGGGGGTGTTTAATGCGCAGGGAAGTGTCCACCAGCACCGTGTCAGAATGCCAGCAGCGTTTGCTCCTGCCAGAAGGATCTAATTCCCGCGTTCTAAGGATGCCTGCCATTCATGCTTCGAAACACACACGGACACCACAGAATGTGGCTTCTTTCTCATGCGCACAAATGCGAGGCAAGCCAGGCCCTTTCGCGCTCTTCGATTTGCAGGCAGGCGCTGTGACGTATTCCCGCCGGCCGCCACCGTCCCACAGCACGATGGGCTGAGCCACTCCACGTGCCTGCGTGGCTGGAAGAGAACGGGGGCTGAGGGGTGGGAGTGAGCGGGCAGGTGGAGCAAGAGGTAGAGCTTTTCCAGCCTTGGCCACACACAGCTCAGCTTGAGGTGCAGCCGGAAATGTTCTAAAAGGCCTGCGCACTCTCCAAGACGGCGGCCACTGAGACCCTCTCCAGGGAAAAATCGGTTCCCAGCGCACGTGTCACATCCAGGGCAGCACACACCTGTGCAGGTAGAGCAGGAGGGGTCCCGGAAAAAGTGCGGTTGGACAATTCATTTGGATGCGCTCTGACTGTGGATCAAGACCGAGCTCATGGCTACGCACTTTTCTTTGCCTTTACCATGGAACGGGCAACCTGCAGCCTCCAGATGTGACTGGACTCCAAGGGGCATCATCCCCGGCAGGGCCAATGACTACAAATGAGGGGAGCTGAAGTCCAACAGGGTCTGGGAGGACCAGACACTACGGAACCTCGGAGAAGGCATGTCCCGAGAATGGATGGGGACAATTGTCCCTTGTCTTCCCAAGAGGAGAGCAAGTAGCCCCTGCTTTTCCGCACCCAGCTCAGCCGCCCTCTTGCCCAGGCCGGGGGGGGGTGGTTCCCGCTGCCCACACAGCCTCGGCCCTCTTGAAGCCATGCTCTGGCAGGAGGCGCTTTAGCCCACCTCCAAAGACCAAGGCGCCCTCCCCCGATGTGCTGGGCTGCAGCTCCCACCATCCCCAGGCAGCAGACCTGCCAGTCAAGGCACGGCCAGGATTCAGACTGCTGGAAAGTGGCCACCAAGCCGAACGAGGAGATTCTCGAGGCTCCAGAGTCAAAGACAAATGCAGGGGGAAGGATCTGGTGTCGCGGCAGCACGTGTGGCAAGGAGCTCAGAGCCCGAGTGGCCACCGGCTGGACACGGCCCACAGGAACTGTGCCCCCCCCGATGCCACAGGCACGGCGATCTCACACCGGGCATGTGGGCAAGGTACCCTTTCTGGGCAGCTGTGCCAATGGAGAGGTCAGCTATCCAAGCCATCTCAAGCAACTGGTCTGGGCCCCTGGGAAATGTACTCTGCACATGCACAGAGCTGATCCTCCTGTTGTTTACCCCCGACACATTCTGGGAGAAAGAGTTGCCAAGAAGAGATTCTGGGGCTGAGCCGCCGTGGGGCTGCTCATCTCCGATCGGGGGCACCTTCCAGCTGAGCCTGGGCTTCGCAAGGAGGGGCTGCGCTCGTCCTCCTGCGGGCTCCTTCGGGGCCACATTTAGGGGCCGTCTGAGCCATCCTTGCAAGCTGGGAGCTGGAGGCCTTCCGCCTGATGGTGCCTGAGCGTGGCACAAGCTTCCACCGGGTGAAGCGGGCCTTGGCGGGTCTTGGTTACACCGTCAGCCCGATGCGCTGAGGGGCCCCTTCCAGACTGTCCAGGGCTCTGCCAGCCCCCAGGCTGGGCCGTGGGAGCAGTTTCAGCTGGGGGCGACAGGTGACAACACGGGGCGCTCCGCAGCTCCTCCACCTCTGCCCCGGGCCGACCCGGGCCAGGCGCTGCCCCAGCCCAGATGGCACCCCTGCCCCGTCCCCCTCGCCCACACCGTGACCAGGCCGATCCCGCTGGGCGCAGCGGTCCTTGTGCGCGACGCGTCCACTCCCGCTCCACTTGCAACCGGCGAGGCGTCCACGGCGCACGCCACGTTCTAGGGGGGCCCCCAAACGCAGCCCCCGCCCCCGGGGCACCGTGCCAACGACCTTGGGACGGCCATGCGTCTCGCGCGAACGCCCCGCACCCGTGCGCGAGTGCCCAGACGTGTCCCCGCCAACTCGGGCCGCCCCCCTGTGCCTCCCCAAAGCCGGGCCCCGGTCCGTGGACGCCGCTCAGAGGAGACCCGGCCGAGCAGCCTGCGACAGCCCCGCTTTGTTGTGCGCCCCCTTCGGCGACGAAGCCCCGCTCGCCCCCCCCGCCCCGCCGCTTACCGGACCAGAGCAGCAGCTTGTCGTGCGCCTCCGCCTGCGAGCCGGAGTCGCCGGCCAGGAGCGTGGAGGTGGCGGCGTAGGGCAGCGGCGAGCCCAGGCACACGTTCCGCTGGAGCGCCTCGCAGGGCGCGTCGCGCTTGCAGCGCGCCTCCTGCTCGGCGCCCGCCGCCGCGCTGCCATTGAGCGCGGCCGCCCCGCCGCCCAGGGGGCCCAG